GTTCAGGATGTTTGGAAGTCTGGCCATGTTATCTCTTCCCAACTGTATGATTCAGAATCCAGCATCGTACTTGAAGACTCGTTTTGTCGGCAACTTAATCTCCAGCAGAGTCATCAACAATCTTTGGTATCAGGGGCTCCCCAGGGAAAATTCTTATCAGTATCCCCAGCAATCTTTGGTACTGCAGACTTCCAGCGTCGATATATACTGACATCCCCAGTGATGAGCAACGGTCTCCAATAGGCCTCTTTTTATCCCCATGAAGTTTATTTCTTCGCATTACATATAGTTATCATTACATAACATTGCATCCTCAAAAGCGCGTAGTTGGTCCATCAGAGTGGATCTTTGCCTCAAAAGAAATTCAAACATGCATACGAAGCATAAGCCAGATCAGATACCTTACACGAAAGACCTAAATTATTCAAGGACAACAATACATCCCTACAAAAGGATATCATGCCCAAAGTCCCCAGTCGGTGACCTTCACCTTTTCAATGCAAAACAAAATTAATACACTTTGTCGTTCTAAACCCAATTCTTGTCTGGTAGTCAGTTCCCTAAACACTCGTCTATATCTCCTTTCAATACTCGTCCGTATTGATTCAAACACTCGTCCGTGTTTAACCTTGTGATACTCGTCCGTATCTACTTTCAATACTCGTCCGTATTGATTCAAACACTCGTCCGTGTTTAACCTTTTGATACTCGTCCGTATCTCCTTTCAATACTCGTCCATATTGAATCAAACGCTCGTCCGTGTTTAACCTTAGATACTCGTCCGTATCTCCTTTCAATACTCGTCCGTATTGATTCAAACACTCGTCCGTGTTTAACCTTGGATACTCGTCCGTATTTTCTTTCAATACTCGTCCGTATTGATTCAAACACTCGTCCGTGTTTAAACTTTCTTGATGCTCATCTGTGTCGCTTATCTAAACAATCATCATGTCATAACCCATGTTCCCTTCTTCGAACCTGAGATCGCCTCTTGGCTAGGTTCTTCCTTCGAATCATCGTCGAACCTGAGATCGCCTCTTGGCTAGGTTCTTCCCTCAAATCATCGTCGAACCTGAGATCGCATCTTGGCTAGGTTCTTCCCTCAAATCATCGTCGAACTTGAGATCGCCTCTTGGCTAGGTTCTTCCCTCAAATCATCGTCGAACCTGAGATCGCCTCTTGGCTAGGTTCTTCCTTCAAATCATCGTCGAACCTGAGATCGCCTATTGGCTAGGTTCTTCCTTCAAATCATCGTCGAACCTGAGATCGCCTCTTGGCTAGGTTCTTCCTTCAAATCATCGTCGAACCTGAGATCGCCTCTTGGCTAGGTTCTTCCCTCAAATCATCGTCGAACCTGAGATCGCCTCTTGGATAGGTTCTTCCTTCAAATCATCGTCGAACCTGAGATCGCCTCTTGGCTAGGTTCTTCCCTCAAACCTTCGTCGAACCTGAGATCGCCTCTTGGCTAGGTTCTTCCTTCAAATCATCGTCGAACCTGAGATCGCCTATTGGCTAGGTTCTTCCTTCAAATCATCGTCGAACCTGAGATCGCCTCTTGGCTAGGTTCTTCCTTCAAATCATCGTCGAACCTGAGATTGCCTCTTGGCTAGGTTCTTCCCTCAAATCATCGTCGAACCTGAGATCGCCTCTTGGATAGGTTCTTCCTTCAAATCATCGTCGAACCTAAGATCGCCTCTTGGCTAGGTTCTTCCCTCAAACCTTCGTCGAACCTGAGATCGCCTCTTGGCTAGGTTCTTCCCTCAAGTCATCGTCGAACCTGAGATCGCCTCTTGGCTAGGTTCCTTCCATATACTTTGTCCTAGAACCTGAGATCTCCCTTTGGCTAGGTTCTCTGTCGAATCACTCTCATGTGTCACCTTAGGATCACAGGTCGCCCGTAGACCTCATCCGCTGTCTTTTCATACCAACCATTTGTCTTGTATTGTCGTCGCTCCACGTTACAAGTTCAATCTCTGTCCCTTCATTGAAAAAACAAATTTCTTTTCCCCAGCAGATAACACAAAAATAAATAAAGAAAACACTTACTCTCTCTCAGGACAAATTTTTGGCATTGATATTTAATCATCTTCAACCTTGAACTCCCGAAAGGCATGTGCCAATCATACTTTCAGGTTTAAGACGATTAAATAGGGGCAGCTGTAATACCCCAAATTTGTCCTACCCTTCTACTTTTATCTGGTTTACGCATTGTCGCACTTTTCTCATCAGCATATCCCCCATTAGGTCATTTAACCCAATATGCGTTCACAAACAATAAGGCTTGGCATAAGGATCAAGGATCTTGGAGAACCAGGGTTTCTTTAAGTCTTTGAAGCTCTTATCTTCTTCCAAGGGATTCAAGCTGTTCTTCAATGCATGAGAAAGATACACAGTTGTTTATACATGGCATTATACAAGAGTCTCCTTCTAAGAACTATAAGCTGAGACATTGACCACTTTCTTCTGTTCATCGCCATTCCGTGATTCAAGGTTTATTTCCCTGAACGTGTGGCCTTCAAGAGGTTTTCCTTATGAGGTCTTAAATTTAAGGTAACCTCATCATTGTTAGTTCGACTGAATGGAAATAAGGATCATTGAAGATGCGAGCCGTTTGGAGTTTACTCATTAAGATTTGAAGCGGATTCGGGGTTCACTTCATTCATCTTCCATTATTCAAGATCTAGGCATGGCATATAAGTGGATTGGGTTTCAGTTGTTTATGAGATATCAAATTGAATTCAAGTTTTGATGCCAGATATCCCACGATAAATTTCAAACGTCGACTTGGGAAAGTTAATTTTTGACAAAAGTTCCATTTAAATCTACGACACTTTCGTTTGGGTTTCAATTTTTGAAGGGAAATCATGGCGTGACAAGTCGGAACATGGGATAAAAGGGGGCCTCAAAGAAAGTTTCATCAATGGTCTAAATATGAAAAATAGTGCAAGTATGACTCAAATAAGCTCATCCCACAATCCCATTTGAAAACTTCAAGCATTACTCACCATGAGTCATTCGAAGTTCTACCGCGAATTAAGGCGTTTCATTCAATCAAGATACGGTCGGATCACAATACAAATTCAGGAAGAAATATTTCAAATCATTACACTACATTTCCTTATACAAACCATTACACTTTATTTCCTCATATAAAAAGAATCCTAGGTGATTGTCAAGTTGGAACTTAATCATAGGACTGCCCATGTTTCTTCTACCGTGCCTCATGAGTTTTGATATTTGACAATGGGAGATGTTATCAACACTGTCTTGGCTGAGGATACTTGCGTTCATTATAATTTGCTTTACGTGAAAGTCATTAATGTTGCTTCCCCGCCCATGAAAACCTATATTCAACAAAAAGAAAAAAGCTAGCATCATGATTAATCTGTGTTATCATTCAATTGTTCCATGATCATCACATCTGTAACATACATTCACATGATTCATTTAAATACAACCCTGCAACTTTCAGAGAATAAGTATGATTCACATGACTACAACATACTCGTGCTGCCAATTCAAATTCAAACTGAGTGTGATACATGTACATGAGGGTACAATTCATAATCGGCTTAGACGCGTTACCTCTTCACCATTTGTGCAAACAATTGCTCTACGGGACTTGAATAACTCCAACTATTCGAGTATAAAAACAAAGACTTTGGAAATTGTCTCATTATAATTATACACCATTATCATCAAGACTGTGGCATAGATTAACATGCAGTCTTCTTCAGGTTCTAGCATTACAACACCACCTGCAAGTAGTAGTAGTACCCACATCGGGGAATGAGAATGTTAGCATACAAGTTGACACTCGCATTTCATGTTCATGATTCAAAAATAGCATATACATAAACTCAAAAACGGGGGAAGAAAGGGAGGAATTCCAAATAAAAAGCCAAACAAAAAATCAAAAACCAACCAACTGTCAAAACCATATCCATAACCAATTCATAACTAACTTCTCAAACTCCTAACAGAATTCTATAACCAAGCAAACCATAACAACTAACAATCCTAATGCTTACCTGGCCATAACTAACATTCAGAAACCAACTGTCAAACAGAATAAAACTCTATAACTGCTAGCCAAAACAGAATTTTATAAATTCCAACTACCATTTTCTAACTACCTAACAAACCTCTCCTTAACCATAACAGAACTTCCAACTGTCAAACTACCAAAAAGACTCCTAACTAATCTATACCCTTCAATTCCCTAACAAAAAATTTAGATCTAATGATTCAAGATTAATTCAGCTCTAACCAACTTTTACAACATTAACAGAATAAAACCAGAATACTTACCTTTGACAATTCATTCTTGAATTCACAGGAAAATCACAGAAAAACTCTCTCTTCTTCTCCCAATGTTCACCCTCCATCACAAAGAAAATCTCAGAAACTTCTCTTGTTTTATGCATTATCTTTATTCAGTTACACTTCCATCAACTTGCTTCAATATTCGCCTTCTTCATCGCCTTTTGCATAACCTCCATAATCATGTATCTATTAGAAGCCATCGTCTTCAAGCATCATCCTCTCTAATCTTCAATGTACCATATTGCACACCTTCTTCGACCTTCAATTCTCCATAACTACTTCAAAATCATCTCCATCGCTTCTTGAATCTCCATTGTATCCTTCAAGCTTCAGCAAAACTCCATAGCAGCATCTGTGATTATCCTCTATCTTTAAACGATTTACATCTTCATTAGTGTCTCTGCACTCTCTTTGAATTGCATCGTCATCATCATACTGAGACCGAATCTTGCCTCTTGCTTCATAGACATTATTCAAGCTTCAATCTACATCATTATTACAACAACCGCAACAACTTCTCAGCAACGAAAACGCAATACAACATCAATATATAGCACCAATGGAATGCATCAGAACAATTGAGAAACGCGATAGTACACGAATTATGAGAGAAAGAAAAAGAAAGGAATTGAATCAAAGAAGAAAACCTCAAGAAGATACCTGGAGGCAAATATCTATGGTTTTCCGATTCTAATCTCCACCGTCGAAAATGCACTGGACGAACTCCGACCGATTCGTAAGCTTCGAAGCTTTGGGTTCTCTGTGTGGTTCTGATGTAGGATGAGACGGTAACAAAACGGAGGTTGACGGAGTCGGAGAGACGAGAGCGGAATGAGATCGCCGTTTATGGCACAACAGTGGAGGAGCAATGAAGGCGGCGACGCAAGAAGGTTGAATCGCGGGCTAAAATTAGAGATTATCGGCGATGAATAGCAGCACTGAGAATGGAAAAGATTTTGTGAAGAAGAGGAATCACGGAGATCTAAGATGAAGATTGAGAAGACGGAGACATGAGGTGAAGGCTGAGGTTGAGCTTCAAACTGAGACGACGGTTAAGCGAAGGAGAAGATTTCATGGCGGTGATGTTCGCTGAGCAAGGTGGAAGCAGATCAAAGCGGCGGTGAAGAGATGTGCGGCGCCGTTCAAATTTCGTGAGGGAGATGAAGAGACAGATTTTCTCTTTTAACCCTAAACCCTTTTTCAATTTTCATATATTTTCTTTTTTAGTTTTAATTGTTTTTGTTTTATTTCTTTTTATCTCCTCATTAATTGTTAATTCTTAATAAATAAATAAAAATGAATTAAACAAGTAAAAGAAATAAGGGCTGGGCCAAATCTCCCTTCTCCATAAGCCCATAGCACTTTTTTTGAGATTGAAGCTTGGGAACAAAAAAATCCTTTTGGGCAAATTGCTGAACCACACCCTCTGAATTCAGCTTGTACCCCCCTGATTCTTCTAATTTTTCTTTTTATTTTAGTTTTTCTTCTAGTTTAATTTTTTCTCTTAATTGATAATAAAATGATACAAAATAATAGAATATTTTAGAATTTCTTTTTAGAATTTCGATTAGAATTTTTTCTATTTTATTTTTCATATTTGGTAATCATTTTTATTGCTTTTTTTTTTTAGTCAAGATTTTTGTGATATCATTGATATAACTCTTGCAATGTGGAATGCTCGGGGTTAATTCTTCAATCACTCGCCCAAGGAAACTTTGATAGAATTTTCTTACCGCTTGCACAATTTTGAAGAGGCAACAGACCTTCTCCGTTCGGTATCGTCACAATTCTATTTTATTCTTCATTTCCGTACTTTATCACAAATCATATGCATGCTAACATTAGGTAGAATTCCCCCAAAATTCTAAATTCAGGTCTACTAATGCACGATAACATTAGGTTTAGAAGTAAGCTAGTCTCCTTTAAACTTTTCTTCCCCTTTCGCATACGCATCTAAAACTAAAACTTCTTTTTTTTTCAAAATTCAAAACATTTTAAAACTATTGATGAGAATCGTGCTTTTGCTTAGTACGAGAAATGATAAGCGGGTCTCTTCTCGATCTTATTGTTCTTCATCTCAAGCATAGGTGTGGTTCAATTCTCAAAGACTCCTTTCATGGCTAAGTAGGAAAATGGCTAATATCTCTCTCTTGAGGTCAATCAATCATCATATACAACAAAAATACAAAAAACAAATTCAAACCATTTTGTGCGCTCGAGCACCATTTCTCTAAGAAACCCTTTTTAGATAAGGACACGATTAATTTACTTCTGTGCCAACGCATAAGTCTCCAAAGGTCGAGCTGCGGCAGAAGGAAGAATTAACTCCGTCCACACAAAAACATCTACAACAAAATATAAACCAATTCAATTCTTTTGTGCGCTCGAGCACTTTTCTTTAAAACCCTTTTCAGGTAAGGACACGATTAATTTACTTATGTGCCAACACATAAGTCTCCAAAGGTCGAGCTGCGGCAGAAGGCGGAATTAACTTCGTCCACAAAAAACGTAAACAAACAAAAACATATGAGCCGAACTACGGTAGCTCTGATTCCTCAAAAAGGATACGTAGGCATTGGGGTAGGGCCCAGGCGAGCACAATTTTATTTTCCCTACATTCTTTTCTCCTTTATTTTGCATGCATTTCCCCTTAGAAATAATAAACAGTAAACATAGATTAAACACACCCATAAGATAGATAACAAGAGTGGATACCGTAGAGTACTACGGGCGTGTGGGGTGCTAATACCTTCCCCTTGCGTAACAGACTCCCTTACCCGATCTCTCGGTCGCAAGACCGTGACTCCTCCCTTCTCAGGTTTTCTCGATGTTTACCTTTCCCTACATGTGGGATAAAAGACGTTCGATGGCGACTTCATTGTTTTGATGATTTTCAGCCGGTTGTTTCAGTAGTGTAATGATAAATGTTAACCAGAAATTATGAGGATGATATTCTTTATGGGGATGTTTTGTTGATTTAGGGCTTTCGTGCAAGGTACCAAATCTGGCTCATGCTTCATATGCATTTCAAAGTGTGGCATGGTGATCCATGGATATGCTATGCGCTTGAGGATGCAATGTAATATGCAATGATATTTATTGTATGCAGAATGCAAAATATTAGGCTCATTGGGACCCGTTGCCCGCTATCTGGAGATGCCAAAATAGATTGGTGCTTGAAAACTTCGAGAACTGGGGATTAAATCTTGCTGATGAGGATAGGCTTGATCTGACTTTCTTCATATGATGGACTTCTTGTGGATGAATGAGTAGAGATATGGATCCCATCAAATGCCCCAAGTTTCTTGGTGTTGGAAAATCAGGTGCTCAGCCATCTGTAAGGAGTTGACAAGGACGAAAGCTTGGTCGAGGTGACTGTTATGACTTGCTACCTGCATAGAAAAACAAACACTTGAATGCCATGTAATTCCCTTGGGATGCCTTTATATCCATGTAATGTCCTGTTTCATATCTTAGCTTATGATTATTATTGCCTTATTGTTTTTAATGCAATGCTTAATAAATAATTTAAATCACAATTCGCATACGAAAAATAAATTAAAAGGACATAACAAAGAATTTTTAGTGGAAGGGAAAATTTTATTAATGAGCTTGGCCTGTGAATAGGCATTCGTACATGGAAACAACTCCTAAATGAGGAAGTTACGAAGAAAGGAAAAAATAAAACAAGTAAAATGGCAATAAGAAAATCTCGAAATTCCATTAAAACTGATATTGCTATAGTTCTCATATCCTGGATCGTCCTAGTGATGTGCTTCTGAAAGATAACAACTGAATTGATCCATCCAGTGTTAGGAGGGTGTACTTGTTATTCGTGACGAGTTCTCAGACTGCAGTCTTTCGCTTTTTGTCCCTAATTTTTTCCTGGATCTCCCTTTCGGGTTTTCAATCCACCGAGATACCCATTTTTTCCTAAGCCGCCCTTTCGGGTTTTCAACTTAGCGGGTTATTCTTTTTTTTTTTCCTTTTTTAGCCCTAACTTTTTCCTAAGTCGCCCTTTCGAGTTTTCGACTTAGCAGGTATTTTTAATCATAGTATTTTCTGACTGAGTCTGAACTGACTGGAAGTGGAACGTCTTCCCCATCCATGTTTGTAAGGATTAGAGCACCATTGTGGAGAAACCTCAAACGAAAGGCTGTATACACGAAGTTAGTAGTGTAGACCAAGTTAACGCAAAGTTAGAAGCCCTTACCCAAAAGATATAAAGCTTGACCATAGCTCCTGCAGCCACCGTGGCTGTAATAGCTCCAACATGTGATTTATGCAGACTTCACGCGCATGCTGCACCCAAATGTCCACTTTTAACAAGAGTATTATCTGATCAAGTGAATTATGCTCAAGGGAACCCCTATGGCAATTAATATAACCCTACTTGGAAGAACCATCAAAAATTCTCATACAAAACCAATAATGCCTTGTAAACATCTGGGAAAGCTTCAACTACACCCCAGGATATTAGAAAGCCACCCTAATTGTCTCAAATATTCTGAATATCCCTAGGAAATAAAACATTGAAATAATGATAGAAAACTTTGTGGTCACCCAAGCTCAAACTAATAAATATTTCTTGAATCAAAATATTCACACTAGTGAACAAATTAAACAACTAACAAATAAGGTTGATGCTCTTGCCACACACAATAAAATGTTAGAAACACAAATCTCCCAAGTGGCTCAACGGCAGGCAGCTACGGCTGCTCCAGCTGGAACTTTTCCTGGACAACCCCAACCAAATCCAAAAGGGCATGCTAATGCTATAACACTTCAGAGTGGGATAGAACAAGACAGACCAACTGAACCTATAATCGAGAAACCATCCATGTACCAAAAACCTGGTAAAGAGACTGAGAAGGAAGATGAACCGAAGGAAATCGAAAAGGAAGGTGATGGTGATGGGGTCATGGAAAAAGAAGAACCTTATGTGCCTCCGCCACCCTATAAACCACCTATCATGTATCCTCAAAGATTTTCTAAGTCTAAAAATGTAGGGCAATTTAAGAAATTTATTGAACTTCTAAAACAACTTAACATTACCACACCTTTCACAGAAGCTATCACACAAACGCTCTCCTATGCTAAATTTCTTAAAGAAATCCTATCCAATAAGAAAAATCTTGAGGATAACAAAACTGTTATGCTCACTGCTGAATGTAGTGCTATAATCTAAAACAACATGCCTCCTAAACCGAAAAACCCAGGTAGTTTTTCCATACCTTGCGTTATCGGAAAGTTTTTCATAGACAAAGTACTATGTGATTTAGGAGCCATTATTAGTCTGATGCCCCTATCAATTTTCAAAAGACTCAACATGGGAGAACTAAGACCAACAAGGATGTTTGTATAATTAGCGGATCAATCCGTGAATTTTGCTTTAGGCATGTAAGAAAATGTTCTTGTACGTATAGGTCAGTTCTATATCCCCATTGATTTCATAATCATGGACATTAAGGAAGATTCCAACATTCTTATTATATTAGGTAGACCATTCCTAGCTACTGCAGGAGCCATCATAGATGTTAAAAATGGAAAACTAACTTTCGAAATTGATGATGAAAAAGTTGAATTCATCTTGTCTAAATTCTTTAAGGCACCAGCCATCGACGGTTCATGCTGTTTCTTAGATGTAATCGATAAATGCGTAAAACAAATGGAGAAACATCAAACCACTTATTCATAAGTATTGAAGATTCCTATACCTCCAATTTTTTTGAAGACGATAATTGGCGTTGTGAATATCAAGACGAAAATCTGAGTGAATATCTAGCAATAACTCCTGATCATATGCCTTGTCCAAAGAAGTCATCTATAGAACTCAAAACACTACCCAAAGACCTAAGGGAGAATCTGTAGTGCAACAAACTCACACTGGGTGGAGAATGTGCATCGACTATAGAAAGCTAAACAAAGCCACTCGTAAAGATCATTTCCTTTACCCTTTATTGATCAAATGCTTGAACGATTAGCTAAACACTCTCATTTATGCTATTTAGATGGGTATTCAGGATTCTTCCAAATTCCTATTCATTCTGGCGACCAAGAAAAGACAACCTTCAC